TGAGGTAGCAATGCTAACCACCACCAAATTTGGCAATAATAATAAAAACTAGAGTTATTTTTTCAGTAGTGCAGTCAAATCCTAATTACAACAAACGAAGCTAACATATATATGGCGATTGAATACTTAATACTTTCGTACTGTATTTGGCTGACAGCCCTGGTGGAGGGTCTGAGCTGTAACACTGCCCTCTCACTTACAAGGAATGAGCCAGGGAGACAGCTGCATATGTGAAGCTGGGGTGCAGGGAGGGTAGTAAAGAAGATGTGCACAGAGTTGTGGACAGCAGGCAAGTATTTATACATAAGAGAAAGGAATTGTAAGATTACATTTTGACAAAACAATTATTGTTGCTTGCAACTTTTTTTGTTATAATAATTCCACGATAACATTTTTGTTCTGCTTTGCAGCACACATTTCACAAAATAGATCAAATCAACTACACTGCCTTTGCTGCACAAAAAAGCAGCTAGAAAAAGCTAGAAAAGCGCCAAAATGTGGTGGAAATATACACATGGAGCTCTTGTAAAATTCAAAAAGGTATAAACATTTAAAAGAACCTGTAAACAATACTTACTGAAGGTATCTCTAGTATCCCAATTGAACCTTCAAAAACAAAACAAAATAGCTTGCAATAAATTATTTTTTTTTAAATCGCAAATTTTGTTCTATGATTAATGTTTATGAATAATTATTTATTTGTCTATTCACAATTTTACACATTTATTAAAATTTCTCAAAAGTTAGTTTTTCTTTTTACAGGATTGCTGACAAGAAGAAGATGACTCTGAATTGTGAAAATGACATTAGGGAATAACAAATTGTATCTTCATGTAAAACAAGTAGAGTAAAACCATCTGTGTACAGCATTGCATAATGCAAACCCTTCCACTCTTCTGTTTCAGGGATATTTAATTTCTAATTACTGTACATACAGTATAATAGAGCTGAATGCTATAACAGTGCAAGAAGGAATATATGAATGCAGACCTATACTATCAATCTATTATACTATATACTGTATATACTTTATACTATCAATCTATTATATAGATTTCAGGAGCATTTCAATATGAATCCTCGTATAAGTTTCTATATATGCTATTTTGATAACTAACCAGTGCAACATAAACTCAACAACCAAAGCTTCTTTTACAATTTGTGATTTTTGAAGGAAAAAAAACATGTGTGAAAGTTTAAACCCACTGGTTTCACTGCCCTTTCTCTAAGACTGCAGGCACCATATAAGGCTTCAGTCATATGAGCAAGGCAGAATTGCAAAATTATCCAAGTAAATAGGTAGGGAAGGGGGTAAATGTTCTGTTGTCTTCTTCAAAGAGGTTAAGATAAAGCTTCAGGCTACCAAAAGTGTTTCATTTATCCTTCTTGTAACATAATTTGTCATATTATTCAGCTCCTGAATTTGAAAATGCAGCATTCTTTAAAGATAATTAAAGGAATTTTTATTTCAGGTTATGTCGATTCAAGATTGTATTCAACATCCCTTCTGGTGTTACATATTAAAGTATACTGCAACATACGCACTGTAGAAGAAAGGTAAACGTCAAATCCTGGGCCTTGTGTTTAACAAGAAAAGCAGTTTACAGATATGTTTAAGAAAAATGTAGGTAACATCAACACTGAATACCCTTGAGGCCGAAGAGCATAATCCATCTTAATATATTAAGCTTTAAACCTTGTTATCTGCTTCTGCTAGCAATGAGATCATAATGTATTCTTCTACATTTTTCTGCTACATCTTCTTGCAAAGAATAAATGATTACATTCAAAATATTTTAAACTGTTTAGTGTTATACTCTTATTACATTTTAAGCTCAGATTTTTACAATCTTTCTCACACACAATGTGTTCACTTCCTATTCCGAAATGTCCTACTTGCCTCCTTTAAAAGTGGCTTCGCTTTTAACCAAACTGAAGTTCCCACTGAGGATCTCTGCCATGATTTTGACAAAATCAGGAGGGCTCCTCAAAAGTGCCACCGTCAGCGTGCTGGGGACAGCAGGACGCAAGAATCTGGGGGCTGTGATCAGATAAGAAGGGCTGAAATCAAAAGAAATAACTAGTAAGTGGTAGTTCATTACTGTAAATCCCTATAGGACATGGAAACAAACAATTTACCCAACCTTGCACTTTAATGGGTGAAAGAAGTTTATCTCAGATTTTCTGCCTTTGATTGTTACTGTATGATTGCCTTCATCCAGTTTGCAGGTATATATAAATTGAATACGCTTGATGTTGAAAACTGTTAACTAATGTAACAAATTAAACATTGTACATTGCTGGGATTTCAGAAATCCACAAAATTAGAACGTGCTCAGGGCAGCATGGTGGCACAGAGGTTGGCTTTGCTGCCTTGCAGAGCTAGGGCCCTGGGTTCACTTCATGCGGAGTGTGGAGTTTCTATATTCTCCCCACGTCCCAGGTATTTCTTTTAGGTACTCTGGTTTCTTCCCACAGTCCAGAGACATGCTGGTACATGCTGACTATGTCACGATCGCTACTCCTCCTCTTAAGGGCGCTCCAGCCCTTCCTTGTTCTGCCCCATTACCTGCACCTGTTTCTGATTTCCATTCCCCCTTAAAAGCCAGACGCAGATGTCACCCTGGGTTCTCTCAGTTTTATTCCTAAGACCTTGTGCAGGGTGTTTGGAGAGCTCTGTGCAGTACCTAAGAGAGATAATTGAAGAGCACAAAATACTCCATGGCCGACTGTATACAGTACAGAGCTCAGTTGTCAGCTCCTATTGGATTCCCAGCCAGACCTTCTCTATTGCCAGTGACACAACACACAACAAAACATGTTATTCTATATATAGTATTTATAAACAAGGTGCTTCAAAGAACTGACATCCTGGTCACCCAGAAAACCCCAGACTGCTTAACTCTTAATACGCCTACAAAGGCCACACAAGAGATAATAATGTTTCTTTATTAGCCCTATACAATTTCTTGCATTAGGAATTAGTCTTTTCGCATACCCCAGCTTTTCTCAATGAGACACAGACACAC